AGAGGCGAATCACTTCATCCAATTGATTGACTAATTGTAATTCCATATATTGACAGTTTTTACGAGATTTTAGCATACTACGACAGATTCCACGGAGAGGATAGATAAAGAAAGCATATCAAATTGTTCAACCTTATTGAAGATGCATGAAGGCCATGACAATGTGGCCATATATGGCCAAGATAGCAAATCTTGTGTATGAGGAGGTGCGATCATACCGCGATGGATCCAACATTAGTAGCCCCTATTGCGACCAAAGCCATGTAGCCTTGTAGCCATTCCCCCTCGAGGACAACCTGCAAAACCACATTCCATATCATTCACGGGCGACATAAATAAACATACGTATGTTTTCACATAATTCTTCCCTGTTGAAACCCATCGACATCCCTCCAGCCTATGCAAGAGAGCCCGTACCAGTCACAGAAGACCAGTGAGATAGACTGTTGACACTGACTGGTTTACCATATAAGATGCAAAACCTTCACCCTGACAGACAGAGATGACGGAGGGAACCAGTGAGACCATCCATGCCCATTTGTGGCCAATGACCCAAAAACAGAAGCTATGCGCTCGAGATACCAACAAATGACTTCGAGTCAGTGGCGAATGTACTTCTCACCTGCTTACACCACCAACTGTATAAGGCTGGGGGGTTGCTTTTGTCCCTCCCTCAAAGCGGGCCACCAAAGCCCTTTTCCAGCACAATTTACGTTTGTTGACAAGGGGGGTACCGAACCTGATTCGGCGTAACTGTTTTTATTACCAGATGATGAGCCCAGTTTCTACCAGTGTTGCTCCCCACCAATAGACTGGAGCCAGTCTTTCAATGATAATGATGACAAGCCTTTCCCGCCGCATGCTTAAAAGAATGTTGACTGCAGCGTAGTATCCACATGAATAGTCCCTCTCTGAGGACAGAAGACAAAGGGAAAGAGGAAGACCGAAATGCATGATGACTCGGATGACATGAATACAAAGTATTGAAATCCTCCAAAAAACTGAAAGTCCCAAATGGCCTCCCGCTACGAAGTATTGAAATCCCCCAAAAAATACAGGGGGTCCCAAATGCCCAAATGGCCTCCCACTTTTCCTCTCTTCCCCTCACATTGAACTCCATCCTAAACTACCCGTAAGCACTCGTGATTCTCCTCATCTTTTCCACTCTCCTTTGTTCCTCTTCCCCCCCTTGATGTCCTCTCTTCTCCTTCACACTGATTCGGATGCCAACTCTCTCCTTCTCTATACTATGCATTTGTGCAGGTGCATTAATCCACATGGTTGATCAAAATCATGCAGTCTTGTGACATGAAAGATGAACAGAGGGAGAGCATCAATTCAAGGACATTCAGATGATCATTTGCTGACACGAACGCACACACACACACACACACACAGATATATCTATATAGATTGTCACAGAACTATTGACTAAGAGCGTAAGCACGAAGCACGTGAAGTAGAAGAAGAAATAAGACGAGCGAAGAAAAGAAAAATGAAAGGACAG